CAAAAATTAGCTGGGCATGGTGGCACATGCCTATATAATAGAATGCAAAGCTAAAAGAACACTATAGGCAACTGCAGAAGTTCCTCTGGGAAGGCTGGAACAGAAAGAAGGGGCAGGAGTCAAGGGAGACAGGCAGTCCAGAGAGGGTGTTTTTTCTTTGTTTTTTGAGACAGTCTAGCTCTGTTGCCCAGGCTGAAACGCAGTGGCTGTCAGCTCAATGCAACCTCTGCCTCCCCAGTTCAAGTGATTCTCCTGTCTCAGCCTCCTGAATAGCTGGGGTTACAGGCGCTCACCACCACGTCCAGCTAATTTTTGAATTTTTAGTAGAGATGGGGTTTCTCCATGTTGGCCAGGATGGTCTCCATCTCTTGACATCATGATCCGCCCGCCTCGGCCTTCCAAAGTGCTGGGATTACAGGTGTGAGCCACCGCGCCCCGCCCCAGGTTTTTAAGGATGGAAAATGCTGAAAGGAAAAACAGAAGAAACTGATGCTACAGAAAAAGGGGGAGGTAATTACAGGAGCAAAGTCTATGAGAAGACTGCAGGCTGTGAAGTCCAGAACAAAGGTGCAGAGCTCGCCTTAGAGAGCAGGAGGGACAGACAGTTTATTCGTTGAAAGACAAATGAGGAAAGGGTGGATACAGGTGCAGGTAAGTGGGTAGATTTCATGATGGTGTTTGAAGGCTCTCATTGCTGCTATTTTCTCAGTGAAGTAGGAGGCAAGATCTTCGGCTGAAAGTGCAGTTCAGACCACTAGGGCTGATGGGAGGGCAGAAGGTGTAAAATACCGTGTGTCGGGGAGGAGCAACATGTAAAGGAAGCGCCTTTCCATGTGGGGCAGTTTGAGTCTCTGCCTGAAAACCGAGGTCATAAATTTAACATGAGGTAGACTGTGCTCTCTTTTTTGTTTTGTTTTTGAGACAGAGTCTCACTCTGTTGCCCAGGCTGGAGTGCAGTGGCAAGATCTTGGCTCACTGCAGCCTCCACCTCCCGGGTTCAAGAAATTCTTGTGCCTCAGCCTCCCAAGTAGCTGGGATTACAGGAGCCCACCACCATGCGAGGCTAAGTTTTGTATTTTTGGTAGAGATGGTTTTCACCATGTTGGCCAGGCTAGTCTTGAACTCCTGACGTCAAGTGATCTGCCCTCCCTGGCCTCCCAAAGTGCTGGGATTATAGACTTAAGTCACCACACCTGGCCTGTGCTCTTTCAAAATGGTTATAAACATACTGCAAATGCAGCTTTTAAAAACACTTATTATTGCCAGGCATAGTAGCTCACGCCTGTAATCACAACACTTTGGGAGGCCAAGGTGAGTGAATCACCTGAGGTCAGGAGTTCAAGACCAGTCTGGCCATATGGTGAAACCCTATCTCTACTAAAAATACAAAAAATTAGCTTGGCATGGTGGCTTGGGCCAATAATTTCAAGCTACTCGGGAGGCTGAGGCAGGAGATCGCTTGAACCTGGGAGACGGAGGTTGCAGGGAGCAAAGATCGCGCCATTGCACTCCAGCCTGGGTGACAAGACTGATATTCTGTCTCAAAACAAAACAAAACCAAAAAAACTTATTATTTGAAGTGATTGCTATGCAACAGGCATCATGTTGGGCATTTTACATCAAACCTCATTAAAAAACACTCTATATAGGTTTATATCTCCATCGTACAGATAAGGAAACAGATATAAAGGAAGGATAAGTAACCTGCCAGTTGTTACGCGGGTAGTAAGTGGTGAGATCAGAATTATCATCTAAATTGTGTGGCCATTGGAGTGACGCAGGTGTGCAGGGTGTAGCTTAAATGAGAGAACTGGCAGAGAAGAGGAAATCCAGATTAAGAAGAGAGTGAAAGAGAGAAGGGAGCGGGTAACAAAGGCAAGAGAGCCGGGTGCAGTGGCTCAAGCCTGTAATCCCAGCACTTTGGGAGGCCAAGGCAGGCAGATCACAAGGTCAAGAGATCAAGACCATCCTGGCCAACATGGTGAAACCCCGTCTCTACTAAAAATACAAAAATTAGCTGGGTGTGGTGGTGTGCGCCTGTAGTCCCAGCTACTTGGGAGGCT